CGGGTCGCCCGTTGAGTGGCGCATCCATTGTGCCGGCGCTGCGAGCGGCGACACGCTCAGAGCCCGCTCCCCGGTGCCGTCTCAAAGAGCCTTTGACGGGGAGCCCCCTGGCAGGAGGGCTCACCTGCAGCGAGGCTCTATAGAGCCTTTGAAAGCACAGCAGCTGCCAGGGGCTGTCGGCGGGGCACCTAGGGGGACAATGAATGAGAGGCCACTTGGAAACAGCAGGCTTGTGCCAAGCCCGCGGGCTGGGAAAGAAAAGTGCTCTTCATCGGTGACTCCGCGTTTGAAGGGGACCCTTTCTCAGCCGCGGAGCCCTCATGTGCATGACAAAGGGGCCGCGGGCGCGGGCCGGGAGGCGACGGTCCCAGCCAGGCGGCGGTGAAAAAAAAGACGTGGAGCCCGGCCCTGTGCCCGGCCGTGACCCGGGCCTGGCCGGGGCTACCCTTAGCCCCACGCTCCAGGGCGCTCCTGGCGGGATGCCGACGGTCTCCAAGTCCGGCCTTCCTCGGGAAGTGGCGGAGCGTTGCCCGGGGCCATCCCGGATCTGGCCCAAACCTGAACTGCCTGTTGGGAACCCACAAAGGAGAATGTGGGCCTCGGAGCCCTTGTGGCCACAGCGCCCTGAAGCAGGGAGCCTGGTTTTCCTTTTGCCCCTGAGACTGCCCTGGGGAAAGACAGGCAGGCAAGAGGGCTGAGGCTCTAACCTGAGCCTGGGGGAGGGGAGAGCAACTCCCCCACCCCGCTATCACAGTTAATAGACCCAGAGGTGCTGGACCTGCGGGACTTCCTACCCTCCCACAGCCCAGCACCACCCACGCCCTGAAGGAGGAGCAGAAAGACTGGCCCCAGCTCTGGGGAGAAGCAGGGCAGTGGAAATGCTACTCACCAAAAGTCCTCGCTGGGTACCCAGGGAGCGCGGAGAGCCTCCTGGGGAGGGGGTACCTAAGCTCGTGCTCACCCCTCGGGTATCTGGGACCCAGCCTCAGCTTGCTGCCTGAGCTGGGCTTTCTGCATCCCATACCCACCCCATCCTGTCCGGGCGGCGTGCCCTTTGGAGCACCGTGGACCCAGAGCACAGGGAGCCCTCTGCCTTGGCCCTACAACCCCGGCATCCCGGGTTCCTTGCTGCCAGTTTCTGGTTGGATGGGCACCTCCAGGATTTCACACACGTGCCCCAGAATTGGTCCAGTGACTTGGTGCCAGGCCAAGGGGCAACAGTTTAACAGGGACACAAGGAATGGGATCCGTCAAGGGAGTAAAGAATGATCCAGAACCCGGGCGTTAGGCAGGGCCCAGTCCGTGGTTGGCCCAACATGTACAGTATAAATGCTGCTGGCTGCCGGGCCCCAGCTGCACAGACACCACACGTGTGGGTTAGGGGTCTGGGACCAATGATGGCACCTGGGGCCTAAACACTCCAGGCAGACAGGTGCCACCTTCCATGCTGGCGGTGAGCTTCCCCAGCTAAGTGCCTGTCACCCCCCCCCCCCCTCTGGGG